CATAACCTAGAAGCTAGAATTTAAGACCTATTTCCAGGTTCATTGTTAATCTTCACCTAACCCATGTTGGTTGGTGAAATGTCGTCCTTAGGACTCAACAAGGTCAGGGGTGGTGCCAGGATTTTTTCGAGAGGGGGTCTGATGTCCACGACAGGGCCGACTCCCTGACAAGTGCATAAGTTTGCGTGGTTGGGTTGTCGCTTGAAATCCCTCGGAAGTGATGTAGGGGCGTAGCCCTGGAAACTATGACAGTTTATGGGTTTCAAAGGCTTATTTAATCAATTTTGAGAGTAGGCCTATTCTAATATGTAAAAAATATATATGATTATTTCTTCTCCCGACGAAGTGCTTTTATCTCACCCTGGCCACCCCTCCACCCCCCACTGGCACCACCCCTGAACGAGGCTAAGAATGGTTAAAGTATCAGAGTTATTTACTAAAAGTGGCTTTTTTTTAGACACGTTATCAAATTTTCTGTGCCCGTTACAGACATAAAATATATTCGAAAACAATATTTTACCCTACAGTAGATTTTAAACAGTATAAAGTCAATCGGTGTTGGCCAACACATGTTTTTGCCTTTTAAAATTGAGCAAATTCAATTGATTTTTCACCCCAAAAATGTTGAGTCATATGAAACCCTCTGTTTTAGGCCCCATAAAATTATTAGTTTATCAAAAAATTATTAGCCTATCAAAGAATAAAACTGATGAGAGAGACAGGGGTTTTTTTTTTGCTAACCCCACCCCAATTTTACTTATGTTCACAAGAAAATCAATGGTTAGGGACACATATAAAGTCATAAGAATAGAATCAAATTTATATTTAAAAAATATGTTTTTGTTTTACCAGTTAAACATATTTGCAAGAAATCCTGAGTTTTTCAATTGAAAAAAGATGGAAAAGCGACCGTTTCAAATAATAAATATATGTTGATTGAAAAAAAAAAAAAGGAAAAAAAAAAGAATTTCCCCAAAAGTGACGAGGGAGGAGGTAATAAACTAATAATTTTTTTTATGGGGCCTTAATATGGAGTGGAAATGAGAGATAGGTGAAAGCATGGTCAAATGTATGAATGATTTTATTACTCTCATGAGTATTACTGTACCTACTTATTTGTCACCAAAACCACTCATTGGTAGGACTTGTTGGCCTACTTAATTTGCACCAGTAAATATCAGGAATCCAATCAACCAATATCTTTCCAAGTGAATGACCTCATCAATGGTTCCACTCGTCTTGTAGAGGTTTATGAAGGAGTTATTGTTGGAAGTTTTAAAAGTGAAAACCACAACTCACATGCCTATAAATTATTTCATCACCGGAAGAATTCTGAAACATACCATTTGTTTCTCTTCATCTTGAAGGATTTTTTATATTTTTTCTTTAAAGATGAGGATAGTGTAATAAAAAGATTAAATAAAGATTAAATTGTTCTTTGAGCAATCTAACTCTAATTACAACCTGACGCTGGCTGGGTCTGAACCGCTACAGTGTAAGAAACAGAAACTTTACCTTTCTGTAAAAAAATGCTCGGCTTGAAAGAAAATTGTCAAGAATTACATTCTATTTTCAATATGCCTTTTCCACGAATCGGTGGACTTGAAGTGATAGCAAACAACCCAAGTCAGTGGTGCATAACTTTATCTTTATATCAGAGGTCAAAACAATTTTTCAAGTTTTTTCCAATCATATAGTAGTGTAGATTAGTCTTTTAAGAACTTTTTTCCAGAAAAAAAATTAATGTGATACAATTCTCCATTAAGGACTTATGAATTTTTAAATAATAAGGGGTCAAGAATTTAGCCTCAAAGCTTATCTTATTTTTGTTGGTTACGCACCACTGACTTGGGTTCTTTCTCATCACTGCAAGATGTCTACGGATTGGTGGAAAAGGTGTATTGTTTAACTTTGATTATCTTAGAAAACTGTTTTAATTTTAATTAGCACTGCAGCATATAATTTTGAGGCATTATAAATAAGTCACTCTGTTACACTAGCTTGCATGACTTTTAAACAATAATTGCTTCGTGTGCACTATTTTATTCTGTTCTTAAATGTACAGTAATTTTATTATAGATTTTGCATATTCAAGCACACGAGTATCACAGCATGTTGGATTTTACAAAAAGTTTTAGCCTTAAGCTACTGTATGTACACATCAAGCCTGGATCCGGTCCGAACACGGTTGTCTTCAGGTTAAGTACGTATTCGTTTGATTGGTTCGAACCAACCAAGCTTGTTGCTGATTGGTCCAAGAAAAAAAAACGTATGATTTCAGGATACAAATGGCTCTCAGATCCATCGGTCCGGATCCATAAAGGTTGAAAGCACGAACTAATGGACCAACCCCACTTCCTACCAGTTTATAGCTTCTCTTAACAAGAATCTTCATAGGATGCATGACTAGGTTAAATTTCTTTTTGAAATCCACCAATAGTATTTTTAAGACTTAAAAAGCACTTTAAAGTTTAATCAGCAAAATTTTGAGATTTTGTTTATTATACCCGGAAGTTGGTAAACATTTTATACCAGGACCTAGAGAAAATATTATAAAGCTTGCTTCTCAAAATCTACTCCAAGAATAAGCCATAGTATGATTAAAACAGTCACTCATATTTTGGTGTGTATATCTACTGTACTATTGTAATACGGCCTATATCTTCTTTGATTCAATTCTAATGCATTTTGACGTTTGAAGGAATTGGAATCGCTCAGAATATTTGTGGACCATTATGGTATATTACTGTCATGTTTCCTCCTCAAGATAATCTCCTCTACTTAAAAAAGTTATCCGAGGGAACTACGGTATAATCATTTTTCTTTTTTCTAAAGCTTTTCAATCACCTTTCTCTCTGAACTTTCCATTTCTCCTCTCATCTTCCCAACAAGGTTGACATCTTCTCCAAGAATCCCATGTTCCTCCTTATCTCTCTAAATATTTCTTAAAATTTTACAAACCAATTTTCTTCTGATTTAGCCAGATACAGTAAGTCTATAGGCTCTACTAAACCACTACAGTATCTGCAAATATGTAGAATGTATTAAACAAATTTGCCAGTTTTCCCAATATATCGATTTTATGCAACCTATTAAAACTTTGCACTATAAAGATCTTCTTCAATATTGTATATATGAAAAAATCTTTAAGAAAATAGAATCAGTATTTAAAAGAATATTTTGGAAAAAGTTATACACTATACAATATAATATGGTCAATGTGATAGGTTTGAACATGTTTTTTGAATTTACAAACTAATCTACCATATAGTAGTAATTTATTGGTTGGTTTTGTTCCATTTTAAGCAGGTAGCCCTTTCAGCAATGCCGATAATGTGCAGTATAAATTATGATTGCAAGCAGGCCGCCCCAGTGGACCTTCCTGGAATGTATGTTATATACTGTCGTTTTGTGGGACCTTAGCAACAAGAATCCAAGGGGTGCTACTTAGCAGAAAGGCCCATTATCAGCTGTATTAACTGTGATACCATCAAATGAGGCCCAGTGGCCTGTGGCGTATCTAATAATAATATTAATATGTCGGTCTTATTTAGCGCTTCATGCATAAAGCCTCTAAGCGCTTCACATTACTACCCCGGTCATTGGACCAAACACGTATGTGGAACACATACTCAGCTCCCTGGGGAGAATTCCATAATATTGCAGCTAGTAATCAGTGCAGTTGTGTTCGAACCTACCAGGTACCCACTTGTATAGTACTCCTGGGTGGAGAATCCCAACCGTTGATAAAGTGCCTTGCCCAAGGACACAAGCGATTTGCACAGCAAGAGTTTCGAAACCCCCGACCTTGAGGTTGGGCACCCAAGCCACAACCGATGCGCCAACCAATTCTACAAAAAATTGCTCCCCCAGTCGCCCCAAAATATCATGGTCAAGTAGTTAAAAATCACCTTATTATGCCAGTTAGTGCCCCCCTCCCAAATGATCAGCGAGACCCCACTTCACCTTCTGCTCCCCCACTTCTCCTTCTTCCCGCCCCCACCCCCATTTCAAGACTTTTAGATACGCCACTAATGAGGCTGCATTTGGTGTCGTCATTAAATCTTAGGAAAATCGAATATCTATAAATTTTTGCACAAAAATTAAGTCCAGTTCAGCCAGATAACAGCTGTTGGCTACTAATTGTTATTTTGTACTAGCAAGCATTTTCTAGACAAGATTTCCCAAGTGCCTGCTATATTGTTGAAGTGAAGATGGTCTTTCCTTTAGGCTTCCAGACCATTAAAAGTGATGAGATATGACACAACTGAACTTTCCAGGTCATTTGATTCTTTATTGCTTGATCTAAACATAAACAGTTTTGTCAAAGTAGTAGTAGTAGCCGCTGTTGTGCGTGGACATCACCTTATTAATATTATGATATTAGGGATGAAAATGTATCTTGTTTTATTTAAAAGGCGTGAGGAAAAATATTCCAGACGGGGAATTTTTTTGTAGGGAGTAATAGACCAGGGAAAATGTCACAGAGAAAATTGCCTGGGGAAAAATACTTGGGGAAGCACTTCCCAACACACGCAAGTCGCAACAGCGGCACAGTGCAGTGCACATCTGTCAGTACCCGAGACACAATCACTGCTTTTAAATATCAGTAGTGTGCTCTGTGGTTTAATAATATGTTCTCGCCATTTGCATGTTTAACAAAATCAACAGCTTAAATGTTTCATCCGAGAAAGATAGTGCTCTTCTGTATTTACCGAGCTGTCTTTCAAGACTTAATGGTATAGGACCAGGAGTTCAAAGTTCTTCATGATTCGTTGCACAAATAGAGGTTACCATCAGTTTTAAGCAACTGAACTATGCTCCTCTGTGTTATAATAACAAGCAAAGCAATTGAATTAGTATTTCCCACTGTTGACATTACCCATTCTCAGTATGTAGCCAATAAGCATGCATTTAAACTACTCTACAAATAAATTATTATTTTTATATATCAAGCTTGCATGAAAATATAAATTTATTTAAATATTTTGTTTTTCTAGGATGGTCATCTCAAATCATCAACATTTGTTATTCCAGGGACTGATAGGCAATTTATATTGGATGTTTATTTAAATGAGTAAGTATATTATTTGATTTTATAGTTTGTCAGATAATAAGAGGTAATGTTATACAGTACAGTATTTTTTATCAAATGTTATTACTGTATTCATATAAGTTTTTTTTTTTTTTCATAATTATCTATTATAAGTAATGGTATAAACAACAGCACATACACGAGCAAACATTAAACATCCTTATCCCACTGTAACTATGGTATACAGCCCTCTCGCCAGGATTTTTTTAAGGAGTAGCGGATTTTCAGAAAATGTCCCCAAAATTTAAAAGCTGGTGCGCCAAATTTTAAAGGGTGGATACATTTTTTGTACTACTTATCATGTCGGACACGACGCGGTATTACCCGTGTCCCACTATTTAAATTTCATTTACTCGACCCCTTTAATTTAATTATTAATGCAAACAATATATGTGCCCTTAAATTATGATCAAAATGGAAACAATTCATTAAAAAAACTATATATATATATATA